AGGGAAGGTTGGGCATGAGGCTAGCCATCTGATCCCATGAAAATTAAACACTACTGCTACAGAAACTTTAGAGATCTAAATATCTAACTATCTGGTCAAATCTTGATCACAGTTCAAATGAATGTAACTTGAAGCCCTATGTTCCACTGGGAACGTAAAGGAATAAAAACAAAAGTGGCTCACATGTAATAAAATGGCTAAAACAATTTAGAGCCTAGGAAAGTTCTGTCTTGAGGTAATGGATAAATTATCGCTTAGTTGTAGAATACTCGCTAGCTACCCATGGAGTCTGTGTTTGATACCCGACGGATAGTAGGCTCGAAATTGAGGGTAGGTTAAGAGTGAGCGTCGCAGACTGAACCCTTAGAAATTCACAACTACATCACCACTAAAATTTTAAAAAGCTTAGAACTCTTTTTTCTAACTTGGAACTCAAAGAAATGAGATTGGAAATTCAGTGTTCTGTTTAATTCCAAATTTTGAACTTCATGATCTGAGTTCCACAGGGGAAAACCAACGAGATGGCAACAGAAGCAGCCGAAACATGATTTCAGCTGAACACAGAGAAGACTAAGGAGATGAAAATACCTAAGGAACATCAACAATAAACACAAAACATTACCAAAGGAAGAAATGTGAAGGAATTTGCCTCTTTCACTTATTTGAGTAGCATCATTACAACTACAAGTGGTGATGGTGGGGACGGGGATATCAAAGGTAGAATAAGAAAGGCATATCAAACCTTCAATAGTCCGAAATTAGCATTCATATCTGCTACAGTCAGCATGAAGAAGGAGATTCTATATTTTCAACACTACTGTCAAATTATTCAGTGTTTCTTTATGGTTTAAAGACTTGGCATGTCTCAAAAATCATTTCCAACAGACTACTGTAGAGGTTTATTAATAGCTTCCTTCGCCTTATACTGAAGACTAGATAGCTGACCGGAAAAGATAAACAGCAGTGAACTGTGGAAAGGCGCAAACAAAGAACCTGTTGGTTAAGCAGTATACAGAAAGAAATAGAGGATGCCGGTGAGTGAAATCACACGTAATGCTTGCCATCAAATGGGACCCCACTGGGAAACAATAATTTGGACACTTTCAAGATTGAAATGGAGGAGATGAGAGCAAAAAGACTGTCATGGTAGCAGATAAAAAGGATTGCAGTGAATGGAATGAGATGGAGATGTTCTATCGAAGGCTATTGTTTTATCTGGAACCCAAATGAATAATAATAGTGGAAATAGCTTTATAAATAGGCCCTGATCCACCTCATCTGTTTTGGCTTCCTGTTTGAAATTCGTGAATTTCATCTCTAAGGTTACCATTGGTAATTGCAGATCTGCTGAAATTTCAGCTGTTTTAAAAGTTGGCTGATCGGGTAAAGTATCTGCATGCTAATTAATAATGTGGTTAATATCAACTGTGTGCACTTTCTGAGATCTTTTTAAATGACTAGACTACGTCATTTTTCTACCTACTTCAGAGGATAAGTTGATATATTATAGATTGATATACTATTTGGCCACGGGTGCGCACCGAGGAATATTCGTAATACAGGTTGAAGAAGCAGTTCAGCACCAGTTTGCTTTCAACATTTCTCTAAGTGCGTTCAGATCTTAATCAAAATTATTGTTTTCCGCATCTTCGGCAACTGTCTTTCTCATTAAAATTATGCAACTGGTTCATAAAATATCAGCTTTTATTTTTGTTCATGTACTTTAAAAAAACACAGAACTAACTGATCACACTGCTCACACACAGTTATGATACTTCCCTGACTTCACTTTGCAAGGAATGTTTTCGAAGGTAAAACTACTGTCCAAATAAACCTTAAGCAGTATTAAAATGCGGTGATTTTGAACACCTAACACTATTCCCGCTGAAATGAGAATGCAGAGCAGTTCTGGACCACATTTTCACTTCTTGTCACGTAGCATCAGTATAGACTTCATTCATTGTCATCTCCTTCATGCAGCCAAAGCTCTAGCAATCCATAGAGAAAAACCTTTTAATCCATCCTCTTCTACTGCTATGCTCTGGGTGCCTATTTTCTTTCCTTGATTTGTTACATAATTAACTACATGTAGTCCTTGAACTTTGTAACCTATCTTCAGTTCTTTGTTCTCTTGGTGTCTATAAACTGTTTGCAAAAGATTATTCATCACTTAACTAATTAATTGTCAACCCATCCGATTATATAATATTATTCACAATTTTTCAAACATTTTCATTACTCATAACCTCTAAACCTTGTTGTCAATTAAAATTGTACACATAAAAACACTGTACATCTCAGAAGTGAGGCAACGAAAAGAGATCTATTTGATGATATATGTATTTAAGTCATAATGATACTAGGCTGTATTCATGACTGCGTTCATCTTTATGTGAGAAAATATCGATAGACATTTGAAGGAAACTACAGATATGTAGCTCTAGTCAAATTAGTGATCCAATAGAAACAGCAAATAAGGCAGCAGTTGATAAAAGTCTGTAGCAGACAGCTGGAAATTCTTCTCGTGACGCGCCCGCCATGCTTATAATTCATGTAGAAGAACTTATTTGAAGTTGTCGTTTAAAACCCGAATCTCATTGTTTATGATGAGTGCAGAAGTTTTCCAAACCGATTCCACATTGATCAAGGTGTGTCTTGCCTTTCCGAATCTGGCTGGCTGACTTTGACATCTTCATCCGTTCCGACTTCCTGTGGTTAAAACCATGCTTCCTGGACAAGTGAGAGAAGTGACCTCTTTCAAATTTATTCCGTTGATAGTGATTGGTGCTGTTTTTTTGTTGCTGCTGGTTGGTTATCACCGTCACCTCTTACTTATCTATGCTCACACGGAGTCCTGTTTTCACTGCCAGGGTCTTCAGCTAGTTTGTTGGTTTTCGCCTGGCAATAAGTCTTTCATTTCGTTTTACATTAAACATAAATCGTCTGAGAAATCCAGTTCTTCTGGAGTCTTATTTTTGATCCAGTTTATTCCTATCTTCTCAACCCCCACGCGCTTTCTTCCGCACAAACCAGTCCACCAAAGATAAGAATATCATCGGTGGTAATAGGCGAGCAGCCTTGTCTTACTCCTGTATTCACTTCATAAGCTTCGCTCAAATGTATATACATTCACAAAATTGATCTTCGTCCCATTCAAGCTCACAATAAACCAAGTTAAAGCACTCTAGCTCTATGCCACCGACGCACAATCAATAATGACTAGCAGTGGAATCCAGGATGTTCAGTTCATCCTTTTTTGGGTAGTCGTCAGCTAGAAATTCTTTCATTCCCAATAAGTAATGGCAGTATTCCCAATAAGACTAGAACTCTGTGGCCATAATTTTAAACGTCGAAGGATTTTTCACTAGGCCACAAGGGTCACGACAACCACAACTACTATCAGCTCCATTAAAAGAAAAAATAAGGTGAGTTGTTAAGTTGTAGAATATTCGCTAACCATGCATGTAGTCCAGGTTTAATTCCTGGCCGACGCACTCTTAAACCACTTAGTTTACCACTTAGTCAGTCTTGGAAGCTTGAAGTTTGCCACTTCACTTCGCAAAACACATCACTGTTACTGAACCTTCAAAGCTTGAAACTTTACGTCCCATGAAGAACGTGAAGAAAGAAGTTCACATACTGTCCAAAGCTTAGGAGACCTCTGAGTGACATCACACGCCAAGCCCTTAAGTGGAAACTGAACGAGAAATGATGATTTAAGGGATTACGGATGTCATGATTGCGACCTTGTGAAGTGAAGCAGGAAGTAGAAGCTTAAGAAGAATCCTGATGGCAGATAAAAATGACTGCATAGGACAGGATGAAATAGATATGTAGTGCTAAAAGCCACATATTCCACTGGAAATGCATGGGAAAATTGGGAATAATATATAATACTCAAACACTTTTGTTAATCTGTAATTTAGGAGTCTTTTAGGGAAAGCTCTTAATTTTAGGTCATTTTGTCAACGTGGCGACAGATAAATATTATTAGCATAAAATCTAGGAGTAATATTTAGTGATAGAGTTTTTCACACCCTTCTCCTACATATCAAATACATTGAGTGTCAAAATTGAGGCCAAATTTAAATTCTCGCCTTTATACGATGAGCAAATGAAGTTAATTAAATTCGCAGGCTACAATTAACACAATTCGATAGGGTGAAATTTCCTTTAGAATCTCAGATCACGCATAATATGTGGTCTGCTTGATACGATTGCTGGTAGTCAAGATAGCGAACCCAAATCCAACACAATAAGCAGCACTGATTAATTGATATGGTTAGTGGAATACCCCAGTCACATCGACCGGTATTGCTTGCTCGCCAGCCAGATCAAAATGACCTAAACATCTAGCAGTTGCATCGTGCCTTTGAGACCAGCCTCCTAGAAGACAACGCTGGTCGGTATGATTGGCATCCAACTACTCAAATCAATCAATCAGTAGAATGTGGCATGGGAAAATGATTTAACATAAATAAGGGGAATATTTTGCAAATAAAGAGATTATACTATGCCAAAATTGGAGGGTGGATGAAATCGAGTTACTGCAATCAACTGACATTCTCACTACAATACTGTTCTAAGTATAAATTTCGAATTTCAAACTAAGAATAGCCAGGCAGCCTCACTTGTATAGACGGTATTTAGAAACCTCACGAAACTGAGGTTTATATCCTCGATGACTTCAGACATAAAGCTTAACTTCTGTAGTTGTTGCCTGTAGAAGACTCCATGAGTGATTCCCCACAACCAATGGCTACATTTCATAGGCACAGATAGACTCTTTCGCACGCCAACTAGCTCAACTTAAGGAAAGTCAGGCGAACATGTAGTCTATGCCCCATCAGGACAGACTCAATCTCCTAGATGCTTGAAGTGGTCAACATGCTGCTAGTAGTATGACTAATCGTGTGATCCCTTTAGTACTAAGATAGCTGATGTGATTCAGGGACATATTAAAAATTTCACCAAATAGACAGTATGAACTAAAAACTTACACTTGTTCAATGGAATGTATATTAATCCACCTGTATTCATTATCATAATCACCATTACTTTGTCCTTTTGAGTTATTCATATTGATAATTTGGACATTTCTGATCAGTGATCATTTCATGTAGAAAGCTTAAGATAAAGTTTCTATGTGCTCATTTTTGGATGCCTCATTATTTTGTAGTATAAGTTTTTTTTGTAAAAAACCAAACCTCTCTTGTCTAATCCTTAACTTGTATTTGGTTTTACTGACCAATACAAAAAGATGTGAAATGTCTTAAAGAAAATCATTGTATATATTTATAATAACATGTGAATAACCAATAGAATAGCGGAACTGTATTATATATACATATATATGTACGTGAGTATACGGAATATACATATTTCTTAACAGTCAGGTGACCTTTAATTCTACCTTGTGGATAAGATATATATATATATATATGTATATACTTAGGTCTCATGGCATATAGACTCGGAGGTCTACAAGCCAAAACAAACAAGATGGCAGAAGAAGCGATGAAGTCAGAACTTCGAATGAACATAGAGAAGGCAGCGGTGATAAAGATTACCAACCACCACCACCAACAACAACAAAAACAAGCACCAATCATTATCAAAGAGAGGAATACATAGAAAGCCACCTTTTACCCACTAATCTACATACCATTATGTCAACTATAGGTGGCATGGGTTAGCTAACAGGGATCAGAAAGGCAAAGCACACCTTTACTAGGTTGAAGTCAGTTTGGAAATCTGTTACACTCAGCACAAGAACAAAATTCGGATTTTCAACACTTATTTCAAGTCAGACAGTTCTCCTGTATGCTTGAAAAACGCGTTTCCAACAGATTGGTGCAGTTATTTATCGGCCGCTGACTTTTCTCCATACTGAAGATCAAATGACCTGTCGAAAAGGATTAACAACTGAAAATGGCTTCAGTTAACAAACCAACCAAGAACCTATTGCCTAAAGTATGTTAAAGGAGAGTGAGATGGATCGGGTGCACTCTGTGACGACCTTTGAGTGACATCTCGTGCCAGGGAATCTCTTGAATGGAACTCAAAGTGGAAGTGGTGAGTCAGGTGTGGGGCCAAGGGTAACATGCAGGAGATGAGAGTAATGAGTAATCGTGAAACGTGATAAAGAGGTTTGCAAAGAACGTGATGGAATAGATCTATACTTTAGAAGCTTTCTATTCCACTTGAAACCCATGACTTCTCAAGATATTACTATTTCTTTGAGCAATCTAAAAGACAATCAAAACAATTTGTCCTAACTTTAAACTTTTAGACAGTTTACTCTAACTAGAATGTAAATGACAAGCTATCATCCTGAAGTCATTGTATTATACCTTTAACAAGCGAATTCTGTGAATACTTCTGTTCCTTTCAACTGCTGATTTTCAGGGTTTCGATTAATTTCATGTTAAATCACGAAAACCGATATCAGTTATTACTGGCGGTAGTTATGTTTATCGAGAATCAGCAGGAGTGTGAATTTATCGGAGAGTGGATTCTGTCCTGGTGGCTGGACGGATACGCATCCTAACTCAAAGACCCTGGATTCGATCCCCAGCGTATGTGGTCACTGGTGCGTACTGTTGAAGAGACCTGAGCTAGGACGAAGCAGATGTGACTTGCTGTCTACCTCTTTATTCACAGTCCTCCTAAAGAAAAGCTGTTTCTACAAAATATCGTCGACGGAGAAACTATTTGAAAACAATGTAATGTAACTTCTGTGTTATTTGCTATAGGAAGAGAAATACAACAGGATCATAGATGTATCAGGGGGAGTCAGTGACAGTGAAACAAAGATGAAACATTAGCTGACAAGTTATGATATTAAAAATTTACGACTTACAGGAGTATGCATGTATCAAGGGCCTACTCATTCTTACTCTTCAAACTATGTACTGAAGGAATTCGTTGTGACTCTAAATGTGCAATAGTAGTAGTAGTGGATTTTTTTATCTATCTTAGTACCTAATGTTTATTGTCGTGGTGAAATAACTGAACTTTAGCCCATTCTTCATATATTTGTACTACTAATTGGCTGAAATGAGTAGTTAGGATCCACTCATGTCAAATAATGCTGTTAAATAACCAGGTCGAGCTCACTTAGACACCAAACAGACTGTAGCAGAATAAATGATGTGAAAATTCATCCTGAAAGAGCGTATTTACAGCATTGTTAAATATTAGAATGTTTCAACTGATTTTGTAGTTATCACGTGTTATTTTCAAGTATTAGTTTTGAAGGGATTGTATTTAATTAGTTGGAAGGTTTCATCATGAGCTGACATCAGAAGTTAGAATTCACGGACCATTGGATCGGGTCCCAGTGGCCTTATGTTCTACGAGCTGGTTTTGTAACCATAAGGTCCTGGATTCAAACCCCAGTGGGTGCTGAAGAGTCCCGAACAAAACAGCTGCCCAGTACTCAGAGGTTTTCCAGTGGTTCTCTAAGTGACGTCAGCTAATGGTGAAACCTTCCAACTTATAAAGTGTCAGTTTCCAGGGATTTGATTGGTTGCAGGATTGATTAGGAGTCGACATCATTTTGAGGACCATTGGACAACCTGCGAGTATTGGGCAGATTTTCGTCCTAGTTTTGAACTCTTCAGGCGCACGCACCATCAGGGTTTCGAGCCTAGGGCTTTCCGTTTACGAGGTGAGCTTGTGGATCATTGGGCCACTAGGACTTGATCTAAAGGTCTACGAGTTCCAGCCTCTGCTAATTTTCTCACTACATTTACATATCTCCCTTTGACTTAAATCCTAATATTGCTCTTAGTTTTTGCTTGATCCCTATTTTTTATGCTTCTTTTCACTGCTGTGTGATGGTGGTCTGTTGTCTTACTGCCGCGGTTTTGTCTGAGTGAATTCCAGTTTGGACCTTGGAGTGACCTGCTCGACCTCAGACTGTTTACTGAAAACGTGTTTTGTTCTGCTGGATTCCCATACAAACAGAGTTTTTGATCCCACCTTGCTGGTAATATTCTTACCGATTCTTTGGTAATTCAAAATTATATTTACATTTATTTCATGCCTGATAAACTCCTGAAATATATGGCTGCTAGACAGTTTTGTTGAGGTAGTTTTATTTCTTTGATATAATCCATCATTCTCAATCGTGTTTCAGTATTTTTATTGTTGGAACGTATTTTTGAACCGTCCGTCAGTCACAGGAGTTTGTTAAGCTACACAGAAGAACGCATTGATTGTTTCTTTGTGTTGAGAATGCCATACGTATATGTTTTGATCATTAAACAACCCTTTCGTATGTTTGTGACAGGTCTAATCAGTAATGCACCTAGAATGACTCAGTCCATAGCTGAATTATTTCAAATCATTGATATTATGTCTAACTTGTCACCATAAATAGTATCAAGAAGGCTATCAAAAGTGTGACACAATAAAGAGTAGTGTCATTCTGGGATTTCTGAAATGAAACTATATGTGCACTTTGCAAATAGCTGATTCCATTTATTCCCCTTTCTCTTAATGTAAGTGTAAAACTTGGGCACTGTGGTAGAATGTAATTCCATATTAAATAAGCTTATCTTAAATATCACACAGCGATGCAGTATTAACGACTGCATGACGTCTCAAGCATAAATTATTGCTGCTCATAATCATATCAGTTTTAGTCACACGGCTTCACAATTTGTCTTTTATATATTTTGCTCTCTATTCTGTCTCACCAACTTCCCCTTGTTGTTTGTTGCCACTTTCCATATCTCCAGTATACGCGTTGCATCTTTCCGACTGCACGCATGCGGTGTTGATTCGATAATCACCCAACTAAACTCACTTTTTAATACTCTCACCCTCTCCCACTCATCCTATTGTGTGATTACATGCAAGAGGATACAGTGCAATGGCTGGGCATTTTTCTAGGTTATTTAACTTAGCAAGGTAGATCATTCTAGGTCTGTCTAAATTGTTATGTTCCAATAATCTAGTTGACTCCGATCTACTAGTTTGACGGCATATGTGATTGACCCCACATGGTATTTGGTAAATTATATTATTTTTGAACAAAGCAAGAACAACAATTGTACCAGGATAATATGAGCTCATCTTTTATTATTTCGAGGATTCTTCTCAACTGGTTACAACCTGAACGATAAAAAAAAAGAATTAAATTACATTAAAGATTTGAACATACTTTTCCACGATCACAAGGAGTAATTGGTAGGAAGTAAAAGTAACATTAGTCCGGAATGATTTAACTAATTAAGAGTTACAAACACTGACTATTTATAGAATAATTCAAATGAACTGTGATCATTATTTGACAGTTTATAAATATTTATAGAATAATTAGGCAATTAGGCTTGGAAACGATACAGAGTTGCACAGATATATGTGTGTGCATAGAAACAAGGTTTGGCTAGACAGAGCATAACAAAAAGGTAGATTACGTAACTAAAGAAAATGCTTTATCTAATAGCCAATAAAAAAAGAGAAGAAAAAAGAACAAGAAAGGGTGAGTCATGATTAGATGAGAGAGCAGAGTTTTCTAAACAAGAAAAAGGTGACTCATACAAGTTGTATATTTTGTTGTCACCAGGGCAGTGCAAGATTCACCACTGTCTCTTTCTGCGTACATAGATTTGGTTTAAGTCGTCTGATAGCAATTGCTTCAGTAAAGCGTAGCAAGTTAGGTTTCTTTTGCTTGTTGATTATTTTGAATGACTTCAAGTTGTCTACATTATGATCAATGTCTAATAGATGACGCGCAATTGCACTGTTTAGTACTTGTCGACCTTTCAGTCTCAGGTTTTATTGGGTCTGTAAGCCGACAAAGTTTATCTCTGCGAGAGTTGGTTGATTTGACTGCCAGCCTGATTACAGCCGCATTGAGAATCCCACTTAAGGCCTCTGTCGTTCCTTCTTTATACAGAAGTGCTACAGAGGCTTTGAATTCTATATTATTTTCGTTATTTTTGTCACTTTATTGCTAATCTTACTTTTTCCATGGTTCTTCATATATACTTTGAATAAATTCTGGTCGGTCGTTATTCGCTAGTAATATTTCCTTTATTTGTTTGACTTCACTTTTTAAGTCTTCTGGGTTACTAGTTAGGCCCTTGGCCTGATTATACAGACACTTAACTAAACCTATCTTTACTGATTGTGGAAAGGATGAATAAAGTCTTAGTATTTATTAGAGTTTTTCTGCTCCCTATTATTACTAGTATCCAACCCCTTTCTCTTAG